CATTGTAATGTTTTACTGATAATCTGCCATATTTCATTATCATTCACTTACTAATTTAATAGTTATAGCATGAAAATTATAACAAGTACAAAATGATTATGAGGTTGGTCCCAGGGACCGAGCCCTTGCTGAAAAAGTTAAAAGGTTGTGCCAAATGTAGCATAAAAACATATCACACAGATCGTCTCATGCTAGATAAAACAATATTGTTACCAGCCAGTATAAAGGAAATGTACTCTGATCATAAACATGATTTTATATTTTCATACCAGGAATTTATGATTTTGCAGCCCCAAACCATTGCAAATGCAGGGTTTCTTTTGCATATATTGTCAGTAAACTTGTAGATTACTTACCTAATTTATACTAAGTTGTCAAACAAACCATTGTTCAACCAGAATTCTAATCTGCTATGGACATGTATGGAAAGTTACTGTAAGTTACGGGCCAGTGCTGTGTTAAATAATGCTTTGCCTATAGCTTTCAGGAATTAACAAGTCTTACTTTATTTAACAGTGAGTTGATTTGTCATGTAACTCATATTGTTAAATTTCCTTGGTCATCAATTTGCTTTATCTAAACAAACCGAAACTTAGCTCTGAAAATTGCACTATACATAATATGATGATCATTTCAGGATTTGTACAGGGTATTGAGATTTTCATACTTGAAATGTGTTTTATAGACCTTCAAAAGCATAGGTTTAAACTAATTTGACTGGTTGTCATGGATGAACATGAATTCCAAAACATACTTACCTCCGCTGAAACTAATAGCTATTTCTTGATCTTCATCTTTGCCATCTAATGTTGTGTTCACTTGCTCCAGTCTTTATATACCCCACTCGACTGCCCTCGGCAAAAACTTTATGCCAGCTCTCACATACCCTCTATGCAGGTACTGTATATAGGCACTGTATGCAGACAATAAAGTCACTTTTTGTCAACAAAGCATGAGCAGGATGAAATATATTTGGACACTCAAAGGTTGGATCTATGGGGTGCCAGGTACAAACCTGTTATCTCTCTTAACAAGTCACAATTTTCTCAGATTCATTTGACTCTTACTACTGTTTTAAGGTACTTCTCTTCCTTTCAACTTTTGTCTGAAGCATATCACTGATCGTCTCAACAATTTGACGATGAACTGGGCTCTTTACTAGTCACTACTGTGATATGTTTGTTCTCTTCAGGACTTGCCTTGGTGTCGTGGTTGCTCTGTTGCTGGGACTTGTTGGGTCATGATGCATTTTTGGAGGGTATTCACTTACCTTCTTCTGCCCTTCAATATTTACGGGAAGCACTTTTTCTTCAGCCTTAGTTATTTGCTGAAATTCCAGAATCTTTAGAAGCAGGAGTTGATACAGCACGTTTGCAGTCTTCTTTATCGTTTTTGGCTGCTCAACTCTATTCTACTTTCACTGATACTTCTGCAGGTTCATCCCTTCGTGTCTCAAGGATCCCTACTTCCACTCCTCGTTCTATTGTTTCTATTAATCATTTCTGTTCTTATTCTTGGTAGATATTTTGCAGGTCAGTATGTTGACCTCCCCTGACACATTCATATCTCATTACCTTCACGATCTGGCAGTTTCCTCTTCTATGGGACTTTGTCTTCCCCCTGTGGCTGTGTTGACTACCTCTACTAGATTTTAACAGGGTGGTGAGTAACGTGTTATTTGACTTACAGCTATTGTTCTTTTCTCTTCAAGGGTCTCTATTGATTTCTCTTGGATCCTACTCAGTATCAAGTGTTGCCCAGTTGGGTATGCTTGTATTTAAATTCTGCACTAGCAACCTTTATATCAGTTCTTGGTTGCAATGGGCTTTGTCGAAATGAGGTGTTCCATAAGACCATCTGGACACAATTCTGGATGGTGATATCATATTACAATATTTCTAATGGACCGCTACTCATGGATTATCATGAGTAAAGCTAAAGGGGATTTTGCTAGACTCTGCTGATCTTAGAGCTGAATCAGTCGAGATCAGTTTGCTTTTAAAAATTAGGGAATGTGGTTCACCTGGTGCACTGTTTCTGGATACCTGTTCCTCAGGACTACCCAATGCTTATGTTCCCCCCTTTACTTCTACTAGTGGAGCTCGGGAGTCCTTACCACACCCAGTTCTCAGTCGCTGGGGTGGTGGACAGAGGATTTACCTTTGGAGTGTTGAGTTTTCTTCAATCTCAGAGAAGAGGGCGAAGTTGGGGACCCTCCTGCCTGGATCCCTGGAAGTTTTTTCCCAGATATTGGTAGGAGTAGAACCAACCTATGCGGGAGCATACTCATAAAACCAGTCCAGATTTGATGCTTAGCTCCTCATAAATCTGAATGCAGTGTGGTCCCATTTTTGGTTTTTGGTGGGACAATGTTCCACATCCTCTCCATAATTCCATGGGTAAGTGGAATTCTCCTTGCCCACTTGGTGGAAGAGTAAAGACAACTGTTTGTAAATCCAGACTGGATGAGTTCTGTACTTTGGTGGAGTATGGCATATGACCCCGTCAATCCAGACCTGGGATATTGCCTTTTGTACTTCTTCAGGTTGATCAGAAGGATTGTCCACTTTGGGGCTGCTTTCTTTCTTTCATAAATCCGGTGGTTCAAAATGCATCATTCTGTGGTTACTGGTAGGGATCCTATCACAAAGATATATATATATATATCTGCAGTCCAACTGCCCTGGCCACCAACATGGGATACGGGTATCATGACCTCTTAAATCCAACCCAAGTTGTG